ACGTATTGAATGGAGCACTGGGTATTATACGCAAACAATGAATCATGGAACACTACATCAAAAACTAATGATGTAATGTATGGTGATTAACATAATAAAACAAAATTAAAAAAACTAAATCTGAAAAAAAAATTTTTTTACCTAAATATATTCAAATATATACTGACTGAAAATTTAAAAATGATCCTGATTGAATTAAAGAAAACCAACCCATTTTATTATCAAAAAAAAAAAAAAAAGGGCAGTTAAAATTCCAGGTGACTGCAACAATAACAATGGAAGCCGTAAGACACTGGAACACTAATTCTAAACCAGAATTCCATACAGAAAAATAATTTCAAAGTGAAGAATGGCAAATAAATAGAAATTCAAAAAAACCCAACCAAATAAAAAAACCCAAAAATCCGACAGAGGAACCCAAGACATGGCAAAGAGCAAACCCTCTCTAAAGGAAATTCTGAAGGATATACTTGAAGCAGGAAAAAAGTGATCTCTCAGATGTAAGATTTAAGATGATGACAGAAGGAATAAAGAGCAAAGAAAGTGGGCTATATAAAGATAAACTCAAGGGGTGCCTGGGTGGCTCAGTGGGTTGTCTGACTTGGGCTCAGGTCATGATCCAGCCCGGTATCCAGCTCCACACTCAATGGGGACTCTGCTTCTCCCTCTTCCTCTGTTCCTTCCCCTAGTTGTGCGCGCTTTCTCTCAAATAACGTTAAATGGAATTTAAGGTAACTGCTGGTAAACTGTTATCTGCCTGCTACTTATCTTTGTAAATAAATTCTGTTGGAATGTAGCCCTACCCATTCGTTTATATATTGTTTATGACCATATGGCCTGGAAAAAATATTGACTATTTGACCCTTTACAGAAAAAGTTTGCCAACTCCTGTTCTAAGGTCTTTTGCGTTGTTTAGGCACAGGGTTCAGGTACTACTTAACTTTAGATACTGGCAAATTAAGCATGCATGTTGTAATGTCTAGCTTAACCAATGAAAGGATAGAAAAAGGGTGTGTAACTTCTAAACTGATAAAGAGAAAAAAATCAAATAACTAAAAAAAAAGTCCAAAAGAAGAAGAAAAAACAAACTGGTACAAATAGCAAAAATAATGTGACACATTTAAAGTCAAATATATAGGTAATTTTATTAAAATGTATATAAACTTAATGATTTAGTTAAAAGTTACAGACTATCACATGGAAGAACTGGAAATATCCAGAACATAAGGACACAGAAAGGCCTTAAGTAAGGAAAAAACAGACCATGCAAATACCAAGCAAAGAACTGATATAAGTAATACTTTGTAAGTATTAGTCAAAGCACCCAAAAAGCTAGAGACAAAGAGGGTCACCTCATAATGCCAAAGGATAAATACACCAAGAAGTATTTCCTGAGGCATGCATTTAATAATTTAGCCTTAAAACATATAAAGCAAAACAAACTGAACCACAAGGGGAAACAAATCAAACAGGCCTGTTTATCTACTGGGAAATGTTAACATACTTCTTTTTGAAAGTTATAGAAGAAACACATACACAAAAAAGTCAGTAATTATAAACAATTTGAACATAATTAATAAACCTGACCTATAAAGGGTATATAGAGTACTATATTCAGCAACTGCAGAATATTCTTTTTTTCAAGCAAACAGAGAACATCACAAAATTTGACCATATACTAGGCCACAAACACAGGTACTGATGTATTTTAAAGGAATGTTCTCTGACTGCAGTGCAATTAAGCTAAACATAAAAAAGAAAGATATAATAAAAGTCACATTAAGAAAATAGAAAAAACACATAACAGCAACTGATCTAAGAAAAAAAGACATAAGTAACCAATATCACAAATGAAATTACTATAATTCCTATAGAATGAACTTTTCAATAAATGGTGCTAAGAAAGTGGATTATCCATATGGAAAATTAAATGGGATCTCCACTTCACATGATACACAAAAATTAATCCCAGGTAGTCTACAGATATAAATGTGAGATGCAACGTTATAAATAAAGCTTTTAGAAAATAACTATGGGGGAACAGCTTCATAACTTCAAAGTAAGAAAGAGTTTCTTTATAAACATATAAAACTACTAATCATAAAGGAAACATGATAAATTTGACTACATTAAGGTTAAGAAGTTCTGTTCATCAAAGATATTATAGAGAGTGAAAAACAAGCCACAGAATGGAAAAAGGTATTTATAATAGCCAACTGCCAACAGACATCCAAGAAATACAAGGAATTCCTACAAACCAATAAGAAAAAGAAAGTTGACCAATAAAAAGATGAACAAGGGACTTGACCAGGCATTCTACAAAATGAAATCCAAATGGCCAATAAAATATTTGAAAGAATGCTCAATCACATTAGAAATCAGAGAACTGCAAATTAAAAACCCCGATAAAATTACAAAGCCATCAAATTGCAAAAATTTAAAAACTCTGATCAAATCAAATATTGGAGAGGATGTGACAACAGGTACACACAATACTGGGAGTCTAAACTGGTATAACCACTTCAGAAAACGTTTTGGTTACATCTAGTAAATTGGAGATGTGCGTACCCCACAACAGAGTAATTCCATTCCCAGGTATAAACCCTAGAAAAAACAGGTACGTACACAAACCACAATTCATAAACAAAAGTGCTCATTGCAATACTGTTCCGGTTTTTTGTTGTTGTTGTTATTACAGAAAACCTGGAGTCCATGTTATACTAGAAAACTCAGAGTCCATGAACAGAATGGATAAATAAATGATGATATGGTCCTAAACTAGAAAACTATTCAGAAGAAAGAATGGATCAGGGAATGGCACAAGGGAGTGGCAGGGAATTTTTGAGAAGTTGGTAATGTTCTAATTCTGGACCTGGGTGGTAGTTACATGGATGTTCACTTTTTAATTATTCATTAAACAGTATATTTGTATTTTATGCTTTTTTAATATGCATGCAATTCTTTATGATAAAAACAAAAAATTTAAAAAGTAATTTATCTTTTAAGCAGAATTTCAGAAGAACATGCTGATGCATGATAATTTTTCTTTCAGAAATATGAAATGTCAAGTCTGTACCAGTAATAACAATAAAATAAGGTGTTTTAAAATTGCTAAAATGCTGCAACTCCAAAGCTAAAATGGTCTTTGAAAAAGGAACATAATTCTATGACATGATTTAATAACACTATTAAAGAATTTCTAGAATAGCAGTTGCAAATATTTCAAATACATAAGCTTTAATTTGCATACTTAGCTTAAGGAATGCAAAAGGGATGAAAGAGTATGAAAATTAGGTGTAGTAGAAGAGAAAGCCCTCTTAGTTCTTCCTTCAAAATTAGAACCTAAACACTTCCCAATAATTTAACAGCATTATCCAAGCCACCATCATTTTTCACCTCAACAGCAACAGCTTTGTAACTAGACTCCCTGCTTTCAATCTTCCATTCTTGCCTACTAAAGCTCACTTTTCAGACAGCAGCAAGAGTGATCTTTCAAAAAGCTAATATGCTGGGGCGCCTGGGTGGCTCAGTTGGTTAAGCGACTGCCTTCGGCTCGGGTCATGATCCTGGAGTCCCAGGATCGAGTCCCGCATCGGGCTCCCTGCTCGGCAGGGAGTCTGCTTCTCCCTCTGACCCTCCCCCGTCTCATGCTCTCTCTCTCTATCTCATTCTCTCTCTCAAATAAATAAATAAAATCTTTAAAAAAAAAAAAAAAGCTAACATGCTCAAAACCCTCCCATGGCTTCTATTTTCACTTAGAATATATTAGGAGCCCTCACCAGTTTCTCTAAGCTCATGGTCAACATTCTCCTTACTCACATATGCTTCAGTCACCCCGTCCCCATTTTAATCCTCAAATACACCAACCTCATTTCTAACTCCGTCTTACACTTTTGTCACTACCTGGAAGAGTCTTCCTCCAAAGATTCACGTGGCTGCCTCTTTCTCATCATTCAGATCACTGCTTAAATGTCATCTCTCAGAGAAGCTTCTCCTGACTACCATATTGAAAATACTCACGACCTCCTCCCAACAAACACCATTTTCATTTCCTTTTATCTCCTGTGCTTTATTTTCTACATGCACTTAACTCTATCTGAAATTATATTTGTTCCTCTACTCATCTCCTGTCTCTCCCCACAAAATACAAGCTACATGAGGGGAAGAACTTTGTTTTGGTCACTGATGTATCCCTGGTAATTGGAATAGGTCTGGATCACAACAGCCACTTACTACATTTATTAGGTGAAAAAAACGAATCTAACTGATTAAAAGAATTCTAACTGGAAGAGATGGAAAGAAGTACTTACATGTTTATTGCTTATTGGTCTTTTTAAGAAAGCATCTCTAGAAATGTGGTCTGCTGTTCTTGCCACATCTTCCAAAAACCGATAATCTAAAAATTTCAAAATAGAAAAATAAACAAATGACATATGCCAATGGCCAGGAAGCATCAATCTGCTATGCATAAGATGACTCACCACTCAGGAGATTCATTTCAGTAAACTGTTGTATGGAAACATATGCAGTCTTATCTCGAACTCCATTACAGGTCAGTTCTGCTTTGTGTTTCTTTACACAGGGCAAACTGAAGAGACAAATGAGGTGGTACTTTTATATTGTGAGGTAAGAAAGGTACAGACAGAGGTAGTAAGGTAGGAAATTACATACATACCTGCAGGAATATCGCATACAACGTGGACATTTGTACTTTGCTTCTTCTGTACCACAAGTTTCACACCTACAAAAGCCCACAAGAAACTTAGTAAGTTATCAAATATTAATTCTACTTATTGACTTATAAATTTTTAATGCTGAGTCAATTACTCATCACAATTTATAGACATGTAGTCAGTAAATAAAGTATATGGAAGTTACTCTGATAAAATACTTGATAGCTGTCAAACATCCTTAGAACATTCTCCTCCAGGAAACTGTCTTCATCTCCAAATGACAACTACATTTACAACATTGTTAGTACTACATAATCTAAGAAAACATATATTAAATTAAAAAAGAAATCTCACTTTGACTTCTTTTTCTACTGCAATCAGAGAATGAGATTATTCATTAATATTTTAACTTGTAATTCCTGGCAGTCTGCTAAAGATTGTGTGTGTGTGTGTGTGTGTGTGTGTGTGTGTGTGTGTGTGCGCGCGCATATAACCAGAAGTCCAATCCATGAATTTACATACCTTAAAGCAAACATACCACAAAAAGAATATGAGACCAAGTCAAATTTACAGAGTATCAGCCGTATCTTTTCTCCTCATCTCCACACCCAACTTAAAATTAGCATTAAAATAATCTAGAAATGCTATTACCCATCATCTATCTGCAATTACTCTTGTAGGATCTTGGGATACTGACAACCAAACTACAGTCATTTCTATTTGGCCCACTGTGTTCTAGACAGTAATAGTCCCAAGAATCTGATCACTCTTATTTCCCATGCTGTCACATGATCATACACTATAAGGAAATTAAATATAAAGCAATAAATATGCATACTATCCATAGAGAAAGTAAACAGCTGGGTGAGTTCAAGTGCATTTTTGTCTAATTTTAACTTAATCCATGTTGTCATTGTTAGTTTTATTAGACTTTTCCTTATGCCTATCCTCTTTTAAAGAATACTGAGTCAAGAGCATATTAAGTCAAATCAGAATCTGGTCCAAGGGTTTTCTGGTCCCCAGAATTTTCACTTCCTTACTTGGCCATTGTCCACTGGCCACTAACAGCCTGACATATTTTCACTGAATTTGTTGTCCTTTGACAAAACCCTGCCTTCCCAATTACCCCCTCCCTCCACCACCAACACGCACGCTCCAGGGACCCAAGTTTGCCATTTATTTTTCATTATTCCACACTGCTAGATTTCCTTCAATCCAGACAACAGAGGACTCCACAGCTTTATTTCCCCAATGAATTTCTCCGTCCTACCTTGACATGGCCAGTTTCCGTTTGAAACCCACTGGGGGATTTATCTGAGGCTCTTCTTTCACCTTTGTATCATCCATCACTTCTTCCTTTGGGAAATACTTCTCTTCTTTTACACAAACTTCATCCATCATTTCCTCCTTTTTTATGTTTTGAGCAACAAACACCTCCTCTTTTATCTCCAAGTTATCTTTCTTCTCTTCCTTCACATCTAGCCAGTCCATCACCTCTTCCTTCACCTTCACCTTCTCTTCTTTTACCTCTGCTCCATCCACTTTCTCTTCTTTTACCACAAAACTACTACCCATCTCCTGCTTCACCTCCAAACTGCCTGGTTTCTCCTCTTTCACCTCAGGCCCATCCTCCACCTCCTGCTTTACCCACCGGCCATCCAGCATACCGTCTTCCATTTCCGACCAGTCCATAACTTCTTGTTTCACAACGGTTAGGTCCACTCGCATCTCCTCTGCCGTTTGTCCACTTCCTTCTCTATCCTCTGTCTTCATTCCTGCCTGTCCATTCCCCGCTTCTACACTGCCAGCGTCCGTCCCTGCTGTGCCCCCGACTCTCTCCCTACCGGACTCGAGCCTTAGCCGCGCCCCCTCAGCACCACTCTGCAGACCTCCTCCCAAAGTCCCTTCATTTTCAACAGGCGTATCCATCAGCTCACGACCTCTGGCCTTCGCTGCCATTCTACCCTTCAGAGTGGCTTGTCCACGCCAAAAAGAACGAATTCTGGGGCGGAACACCGGCAGTCGCCCACGTGCGGGACCGAAAGCCCCATGCAGCAAACGCCGGCCTGCAGCTTTCGTCCAAATCGTCGTAAAGCAACACTTCCGCGCCTCGCCACTTCACGACTCGTAGAGCCCTTTACGGCTCTGAGGCAGTCCAGCCCAGAGACACTGCGAGAATCGGCGTGAGGCCACGCCCCTGTGAGCTCACTTTGGGGGCGGGGCTTCGTCAAACCCTGCCCCCGGGGAGGCAGCCTCCGGCCGCTCTTCCCGCCCCCAATCCGTGCTTGGCCACACTCCTCCGTAAAGAGTGGGGGTGCGGGGCGGAGCAGGGAGAGGCAAATCCCTGACAGTTTTGGAACGGTTAAGACCCACCCTGGTCTGTATGATCTTGTATGAAAATGGAAGAAACACTTGATGCCACGCCCCCGGCAAGCTTCATTCTTCACCTATGCACTAGAGACGATGGTGTTGTTATGTGAAGATTAAATGGAATCATGCATGGAAATAAGCCAGTAGTTACTGAAATAAACTCAATAGATGGTGGCTGTTGTCACAGGGAATCCTGAGAGGTTTCAGATAGGAAAGAAGGAATTAATTTTTATTCTTTAAGTTCCGTCAGTAACAGCCCACAACAGCCAGTTTCCCATTCCCAGCATCCTACAGGATTCTCTCTTTAAAACAAACTGAGGGTTGCTGGAGTGGTGGGGGTGGGAGGGATGGGGTGGCTGGGTGATAGACATTGGGGAGGGTATGTGCTATGGTGAGCGCTGTGAATTGTGTAAGACTGATGAATCACAG